AGAGTTTTATAGGAAGAGGATTGTATGGGGAAACTCTGTTGCTTGCACCAAATAAATTTTCTATCTTCTCATCCTATATAAGTATCTCTCTTTAATATCTCTGTCCCATTTTCGTCCTATTCTGGATAAGATGGATACTTTCATGTCATTCCCAAACATTATGTGTATCAAAGTGTCAATTCCAATAAATGTTGAACTAAAAAATGGAAAGTATTTCATCCACAAAAAGAGTTTCACTTCATGGTTATAAGGGGAGGAAGAAACAAGTTTTTTTTTTTTTTTTAACCATGTTGTAATGGTTAAGATAATGAATAAAAAGAAACGTCAATTTAGAACATAGTTAAGAGTTATGACTACTATTTGGCTTAAAGGTGTAACTTCACTTCTTAACGAAGGCTGGGCGAGCCATCGTTATCCTGATTGTGCAAGATGGAAAGAAAACAACTAATGTGTTCCACTTATTGAACAAAGGTTCTCTGATTGGTTTGTGGCGCCTGAATGCTGAAGCATCCTTTGGGGATCATCTCATCATTCATACAGGGTGGATGAAGGGGTTAGTTCATGAATTTTTCTTTTTCTTTTGCCGCATTTTATCCAAAGGGTTGAAGGGAGATAGTGCATCAAAGTGTTCATAAAGGGTCAACTTGATACTCTTTCCTAAAGATCTCATATGAGGGAACCGTCTTATTACTAGTTGTGATACAAAAGTTTCAAAAAATAAAGCCAATGATAGATTGCTAGAGTCCATTTTAAGGAAATATTCACTTTGTACGAATCCGTTGCATAAATGAAGCCAACGGTAGATTACACTTTGGGTAGCTTACAACAGTTGCACAAATTACTCACAATCCATATGAAACAGAATCCGCCAGTACAACTTTTCTACAAATCTGCAAACATTCACCATTCCTCAGATACACTGAAGGCTAACAACCAGCTGAACACTCCAAATTGAAGTGGAAATGCTACACTATTATACAAAGTATTCAAATTCTATTGCCGATACAGTTACAATGATAAGTGGACTCAATCCTATCGTAGGGGTGAAATATAAAATTCCGATCTCTATCCCTGTTATTCAATACATCAGATTCATAGGCAGAGGTCGACCATAAGAGCATAAGCTTTACTCAGTTGCCAAAAAATCCTGGACCTGCTTTGGAGAGTAGTTCCTGGCCGGCATCTTCACCCATCCGTATCATGTCTTCAGATGTATAGGGTCCCTTTCTAGAGGTTTCAATAACTGAAATTAAGGGAGACAAGATTATACATCAATAAACATAAAGAATACGTAACTCACACATCCCTCAGAATTCTGTAACTAAGGAGTAACGTTTACCTCGAGTTCCATCTGGAGAGGCAACCAATCCTTTGAAAATACAATCTCCATCTTCACCTCGACAGGCATAGCCAGCAATTGGGGTGCGACAAGACCCATCCAAAGTCGTCAAAAATGCTCTCTCACAAACTATTGCTAATCTGGTTTCTTCATGATTTAACGCGGCAATGTAATTGGCCTATAATTGCATCCGATAACTATGAGCGAAATAAAGCCCTCAAAAAAGGAGAAATGAACAATGGTAGAGCAGGAAATGTTTTTGTAATAACAGAGAAGAGTGCTAAATACCATTGTCTCATCATCACTTCTGCAGGCAATACCAATGGCCCCTTGAGCAACAGCTGGTAGCATATCCTCTATAGAAAGGATCGATGATACATTTTCTGTCATATTCAGACGCTTAAGCCCTGCCAGTGCCAATAATGTAGCTTGAACTACCCCCTCATTCAGCTTCTTCAACCTTGTCTGAACATTGCCTCTGAAATTCTCCAACACCTATAAACAAAATTCACATAAAATAATTAGCATGACTTGTCAAACTAAGTAAAAGTAAAGAGGAAAAGTTGTTAGATTGGCAGAACTGAGCTAAATAAGAAAATTCAGGCCAGAAGTAACCACCATAAAAAATTTCACCACAAATTTTGCTTCATCTAAAAGATATTCAGATATGGAAAACTTGAGCTTCACATTTGGCTTATTAAGAAAACAATTACTGCTCCTGGAGCATACCAAGCCATGTAACATATCAGAACAAGTAACAAACAATCCTCAATTTACTCTTTCTTCGTTCATTGGTCATCCTACCCACATTTTTGAGCACACATAATTTCTTTAATTATTTCTCGTGTCAACATATTTCTAATTGTTGCAAACAATCTAGCTCCAAGTAATAGCATAAGTAACCTATTTAACTTTCTAGTTTTTACCTTCATAGAAGGCATATATGCACCAACACAATACATGAAGCGACTCAAATAAATTATGGTTGCAGCTTGATGGAAAATTTTACGGAGACTCTTAGTTCACTTTGTTTCTGATATCAACACACACTCAGAGATTGGTAGGTCTTCTTCAGAGACTATGATGTGCTATGTAATAGACTTACATTGAGTGAGGGATAGCGGTGGAGAATCTGGGACTTTCTCCTCAGTGAAGCAGTACCAATTGTGCTTCCTGATGGAAGTTCAGCCAGGGAACCTGCAGTTAAAGAAATGAATGCATCCCTCACATCTTCACGTGGAAGGTTGCACGGTAAGATTGTCTTCTCTGGCAGATATGTGGGCACATCTTTCATTGAGTGGACAGCAATATCAATATCACCATTGATGAGGGCTTCGTCTATTTCTTTTGTGAACAACCCTTTTCCACCAATATCTGCAAGAGGCTGACTTAATATCTTATCACCTGTGGTTTTTATTATTACTATCTCAATGGCTCCCTCTTCAGCCAGGTCAGGATATGAGGCTATTAGCTTTGCTCGAGTCTCATAAGCTTGGGCAAGAGCTAGGGGGCTGTCCTACACAAGTAATTGCATATGTAATCCATAAGAGAAGAGTTTTAGCAAAAGCACTTCATAGATATATCAGTCAGTTTTTCAACATTATCTTTATCAAAAAAAAGAAAGATATATCAGTCAGTTTCTATCATCCCACCCACACACGCAAAAAGGAGAAAGAATGAAGAGTTAATCCAAATCGATGTTGAAACTCATCCCGTACACATTACATGGTTGTTACCAAATATGTTCATGGAATAAGGGAAGTATGCACAAGAGATTTTTATTCATCAAAAAGAATATAGATTGGCTAGAAAATATATGCCAGGGGGAAAATGCAAGGAGAAAAAAAGGGTATATCTACTGCTAACATTAGTCAATTTCTAACAGGCAAGCACAAAGAGGAGTCAAGCATACAAAGTTGTATTTTTGTTTTCCCCATAATGCCAGATCCCCTTAAAAAGCTTACATTTTGACTAACACTAGCACACATCTTAACTAAAATACAACACATTATCAATAAAAGCATAAACATGACCATTAACTAATGTGGAAACAAATTGGGATAAAGCTAATCCAAAATATGTCCAACTATCATCATTACATTACAGGGCAGCAAAGGTCAGTAGGATTATATATCTACTCTTCAAAAATGCCTACGGGTGTGTGCCAGATCCTTCAAAAATGCACTACTTTTGGAGGATATGAGAGAATAAAGTTAAATCTAGATTCTGTCCAACTATGGGGCCATTACCCTCGCATTTTCATTTCTGATTACTAAATGTGCTGAGACTATTGAACTAAATGACACCTCAGTGAACAATATGGTTAATTATACCCTCAATGCCACTGACAATTACTCCCTCTGTTCACTTTTACTTGTTCATTGTACTTTAAATACACTAATCAAGAGAAAAACATAAGACTAAAGCATTAATTATTTAATCTCGAATCATTTATCAAGGCATAAGACTAAACACCAATTTTAGTTGGTAAAAGCCGCACATCCAATTTTTCAGTTGAAAGACTGTAACTTCAATCTCAGATAAACCCAATTAGGCATTTTGTACAAATGGATTGGGTAAAGAATTGACAGTACCTTCCTCGTGTTCCAACTCTGATGACGGCGACCTTAGTTTGAGCTTGCTGTTCTACAGCAATGGAAGCCCTGGTAACGTGGACTCGCCGGCGTTGAACTGAAACTGCAGATTTCCGGCAAGGCGAAGAAAACCCAATTGGTAAAAGGGAACCGGAGCTCAAATTTGAAGCATTTAGAGTGACAAATTTCTCCATTTTCGAAGGAATTGATTTGAGAGAAAGCGAAGGTGTTTTTTCTTTGTTGTTGGCTACTTATCCTCAAAGGTCATCCAGCTAACATCAGCTGTTTAAAAATCTTAAAAAGCGGCTTTTGGGCCCACTTGCCGTGTCTTTAACCACTAAGATGCTGCCACCTCATTTTCTCACCTTTGCACCTCAACCAAATCCACGATCCAGAAGGAAAGAAAATATACATAAAAGAAAAAGAAGAAAAAATCAAAATGTTTTTTTTTTAACAAAGAAATGCAAATAAGGTCGACTATTTAACAAATTAGATGATTTGTTTAATTTTGTCATCAACTAATTTTGAGAAAAAAACGATGTCTTATTCCATTACCTATCAAATTTAATATTCCTTTATGCAAGAAAATTATTTGGACTAAAGATTACTATGAATTTAAAGAATCTGATATATATATAATTTTAGAAATAATTGATGTCATTTTCAAATATTTTCATTCAAGAGTTATTTTGTTGGATAATAATTGATAAAATACATGACCTATTTTATTGACATCCAACAAACAAAAATGACTTTATTCATAAGTACTCATTTCTATAAATTGGATGAGCATCCAAATTAACTCTATTTTTGAACTTTGATAACTTTAAGAATGACCATATACATGTGTAAATCAACGAATTTTTACACAAATATCCGATTGGTTATGTGGGCTTGCTGTTTAATTATGTTAATTCTTCTAAACTAATCGAAAAGTAGCCATATTTGGCAAATTAGTATAACTCGATGAAGTTGCATATCATTCATATTGTTATTTGAGTGTACAGATTCATATACACCAGAATCAAGGTATCTATATATATATATGAGATGGATGGAAGAAACGATCAATAACGATCGAGGTCTAAAATAGATGTAAGTTCATCCCAATAATCTACATTATTCTTTAACAACAACTCGAAGTTCATGTCTGATGAAGGTTGTTGAGTAGTACACAGTATTGATGATGAGCTCCGTAGCAGCTGTTGGTCATTACTATTATTTGTTGATGATGTCATCATGTCTTGATGAACAATATCATGATGCTTCACAGTTGGAGCAGTACCAAAGCTTATTATATAATCTGAAGAATCCGCACTGCATGTTTCTGAGTCAACTACTGGGTTTCTCTTTGCTGCTGCTGCTATTCTCCATTCTGCAGCTACACATGACTTATTTCGCTTAATGATTCTACATAGAGTCCAAACTTCCTGCAAACGATTAATTATTGTGTGAGACATAACATATATAATTAATAAAAAGTACTGAGTACATGGTTACAATATGTAGCTTACTTACAGCTTCTTGAGCAATGGTTTTAGCTTCAATGTGTTTAGTAGATTTGTCATTTTCAGAAGGAAGTCGAAACTCATGCATCATCCAATCTGTTTTTGTGCCTTTTCCAGCACTACCTCGATAATAAACCAATGACTTCTTCAACCCAATGCATTCAGTAGAATTATAAATAGGTTTATCAATACCAGTAGCCTTCCAAAATCCACAACCAGTCACCCTATTTGGTCTAACACTGTTTCTATATTTTCTCCCTCTTTTGCAAAAGAAGTACCATTCCTTTTCTCCCATGTTGCTTGACTCTGCATGCATGCACCCAAAATTAATTTAAAACACACACATCAAATTAAAGATATATCTAGAGTGCAAGCTAGCTAGCTAGCTGGAGCACCTAGAGCATGCAGAAATAGCTTAATTCAAAACACATACACTCAAAATTCTGAAATCCTACTTACATGTAGGTAGATAGATATAAGAGATTTAAGTAAGTAGATATATTTATATATACATACTTGGAAGATCCCAAGGTTCATATTTGTAGATATCAATCTGTTTGATGAGTTCAATATTGATAGGCGGCCTTTTCTCTACTTTCCTCCTTAGATAAAACCCTACTAGCTCTTCATCTGTTGGATGAAATCTGAATCCTGGAAGTGCCATCTCAGCCTGATCCTCCTCTTCTTCTTCTCTTGTGTAATATTTGCTTGTGCTCATCTTACTTTTCACTTCCATAATATTTTCTTCTTAACTATATTATAACTTGATCAGATTGATATATCTTAGCTTATTCTTGTTCTTGCTTGATGAGTAGTTAGCTTTGATATTTATATATAAAGAAGAATGTGATGTGGAATACTATTAAATCAAGAACCTCGACTGGACTTGGGTCAAGTCATGATTTGTATTGACTTTAATTTTTTGTTTGAGGGACCAAATGATAGTATATAGATATCCACTCAAAATTCAAATTATATTGGAACAAGTCTTCAGTCTTATATTTGGGCTTGTCATCATTATATTTTATCACCATGGTACGACTTATAAGAATATAGGTGCCCAAATTCCTTCCCCACCTAGAAGCACACTCAATTCAGTGGCATCGCAGAATCAAAATATAAATAAATAAACAAAAATAAAAAATAACAAGTAATAGTCATCATATAACAAAGTCTAATTAGCTGATTGCTACTATTGGTGACGTTGAATTCTTAGTTGGGAGAAAATATTTACTACTCTTCATTGCTAAAGATAGTCACCATATAACAAAGTCTATATCCCACTTTCTATTTCTTCAACTAGTATAGCTAGTTAGAAAAAGGTTCACGTACACTCCTCAACTTATTCATTTGACTAAGCTTTATTGCTAATTATCTTATCATTTTACTGTGCTAGTTAATATAGAGATTTATATGTAGTCATATAATCACTTTGATTTCAATTCTGAGTAATAACAATTAATGTAAATGCTTTGTGTATTATGATATCTAGTAGGTAATTTATTTTTGATTTCCTTTAGGCTTAGTTAGTTATATATCAAGACAGACACGTTAAACCGGAAAAAAAAAACATATTGATTCCGCACAAAGGGAGAGAAAAAAAGAATATGAAAATCATAATAAATTTTATTTTAGTTATTTTGTAATCAAACTCTAGAAGCAATCATAATCCACAAATATTAATTAACACATGAATTTTAATAAATGAGTTTATGAAATTAGTTGAAACCAAGTCATAGAATGCATAAAAAATTGAATGGAGATTTTTGACAAAAGTGGAAGACCAAACCAGCAAAGAAAAGATATATATATATATATGTGTGTGTCAATTTTGACCAGCCAAAATTTAAGGTTTATGAAAGGAATATTTTATTTATTATAATTGAGTACTACTGGAACAAGTCCATTATGGACTACTCTGCTTGTAATCTTTAACCACTAAAACTGCCGGCCGTTTTTACCTTTTCAACCAATGAAACCTTCAACCTTTAGGGTGTGTTTGCTATCAAAATGCTTTTCTATTTTATTTTTATTTTTATTTTTCTTTTTATGTTTAGTAGGTCGAAACAAATTCTTTTAAAAAATCAAGAAAATGACTTCTATCGAGAAAAATAAGTTTCATAAGTAGTATTGATTGTCCCTCTCCTCCCCCCAACCTCCAGTACCAACTCCCCCAACCCCCACCCTGCACCACCTGATCCCCCGGACCTTCGGCCTCCCACCCTGATCCACACTCCCCTCCCCATCTCCATCTTATCAATATTTGCCTAAATTATATATAAATAATGTTCTTAAAACTTAATATTTCTTTTTGTATTTTCTGTAATCATCATAAACTAATTCTTCCTCTACATTTATATCTTGATGGACAAAGTAACTTGATACATGTTGATAGTTGGAGGTAGCATGTATTTCATAGAATTAGTCGAGGTGAAGTGGACCAGACACCACTCTTATAAAAACAATTTATTTTCCTAACAAATACTTTTCATAGATCATACCAAACACGCCCTTATTTCTTTTTCATGAAAAATCAACTTGCACTATTATTAATTGCTTCAGTTCTTGCGTGGACAAATTTCGAAGGTGGACGACTTCCCATCAACCTTTTGACTTCGTGCTAGCTACTATAGCTTTTTCTACTATTAATAATATCTCTATATATTTTTGACTCTGCTTGTTCTAGTTTGGACCAAAGGAGTTGTCAAATTCAAAAGATAAAGCGCTGTTTAATTAAATTTGAAGAATCCATTTAAGTTACTATTATATTCTGATAAATTTGTATGTAATAAATATTTTAAAACAAATACACAATCTGAACCAAAGCTACTTAGTAATAGCAGAATGGATAGTCCATATTAGAAGAAGGTAATGAATGGTTCCAACTTCCAACCAAAATCAAATTTGTCATATATATTCAATCAGAGAAAAGTTAGTACCAAAAGTCTGGTGTGAAGACTCTTTCTGGAATTTAGCAGCAGCCTGAAAGTCAAGCATCTACGAAAGTGAATAAAAACTGAGACGCAAAAAAACACAATTAAAGGAATGAGAAACTAAAGAAAAGGTCAAAGTCTTTAGTCAAGACATAATTGATATATAGTGGAGTATATCTTTTAGTTCTGAAATTTGAGCTATGGAGTCTTTGTTCCTTTGTGAAGAGTGAAAACTATACCAAATACTTATATAAGACACAACACAAAATGACAATAATATTCTTCCACTTAATGTATTACCACTAATATCATTGACAAAATTGCTAAGTATTAACATGTACATTCATAATTAACCTTCATAGTTGAAAGGAATAAAGCTTTCAACGTTCATGCCAAACCACTATCTTTTCCAACCGGTTTGGTGGACACGATGAAAGCGTGTCTCAACTCTCGAGAAAGCACTATTGATAAGATCATGGCAAAGTCCTGAGGATTTTTGCATCATGAAATTCATATATCAAGGAATGCCATGAGTTATAGCGGATATGCATGTTATTGATACATTAGCCAATATTGGCAAATTACAACATCCATGGGTTGCACTTGCACACCAAGTCACTACACAAACTAAAAACTTACATATCCCGCACATAAAACTGTACGCAGCCCCTAAGAACATAAATATTACAATTATTTATTAGCTTATAATTGCACTGGTTACAAAGAATGAAGATCTCAGCGAGTTCTTTTAGAAGAACATATTCATTTGCATACAGAGAACAAACAACAAAGTACAGTTTGATGTATTGACCTGACGAGAGCAAGTATTTCTTGCGCTGCTTCACAGTATTGAACACTTGTATCACCTCTGTTGTGACTACTTACAAGTCTCAAATAGGGACTTCCACGAAAAACAATCAATGCCTATCTCCATTTGGAACTATTTCTTCTCCTACACAAATCCATGTATCTGACTCGGTTTTCGTATTATTCTCATATCTTAGCAGTATGCCAAACATTATTTTCCCCTGTTTGCAAGGGAATTATGGTAAGAAGCAATTAATTAAGTAAACAAACTGCATTTATTTTGGGTTTTCTTCATTTTTAGGTGGGTTCTAACCTTTGCTCTCCTGTAACCTGCTAAAGTTGCCAAAGGCTCACTAAACCTCTGCACTTCCCCAGCCTCTGGATTTATATTGATCATCTGGCAACGATTGCAACCACCCAATGCCTGCATTTAACAATATCAGTGTGAACACAACATGAGGAACTTTTAGCACCTCTGCTGACTTGCAGAATACAAGAATACTCGTCTACAATTTTAGGACAGAATCTATAGTCACTTCATGTTTCCAAATCTTGATTTTGTAGGAGCTAGAACTCACCATAAAATATTTGCCTCCAATAGTCAGATTGTTCCATCCATCTTCTGCATATGGTTCACCACCAGATGCTACAAGATTGGGTCGAAATCTCATTGCACCAACTTGAACTGCTTGTCCACCATTGCTCCTTCGTCCATTTAAATCTAAAAAAAAAAAGTGTTGTGAATTTTTGATAAACCTATTTGCTTTATACATTCACCTTTCTGTAAAAATCACTAACCACCATCAGAGGAAGCATATTAAGTAATACAAGTGACTTATGCAGAAAAAAATCATGTATAGTGGACTATACAAGATACTGAACGGACAACAAATCTGGTTATTTTTTAATTCCTTTTCAATCCTCCTATTGCCACAACAGCCATGCCACTAAAGAGAGAAATACCACCTCATCTAACTTAAAATTCAAGTAATGCAAAGCATTAGTATCAACTGAACAGAAGTTATTCCACTTATTATTGTATAGACATGGTTTAAAAGTTGTTATGCATTCAACTTAGAGGAATATCCTCAAATTGACCAACTGTATTAAGTGCAATCCCTAATTTCCTTATTTTTCCTATTCCAGAAGAGTTTAATACCAGAAAGAGAGTTTGCTCACTACTAAGAAAGGGAGAAGATAAGAAAATATACTTGATTTCAGCCTAGAGTTGAGGTCAGCTATGCTTTCTTCAGATATCAGCAGAAACTGGGCTTCATTAACAAAATTCAATCTAGCGCCAACATCCCTGCACATGCCAGGACTCCCATTCTTATTTATGCAGGAGTGACTCTGAGAACTGGAATTCCTTAATAGAGTGCAAGGTCGATCAATTGCCCTGCTGAACCAGATATCAACCTCATTGTTGTAACTTCTGACTTCATATCTACCCAAATCAAAAGACATGAAAAATGATTAAGCATCACTATAACACTGCTAATTCAAAAAGCACCACTTACATAAACTATAATCTTGAACTACAATCTTCTTTTTAGATTTCTTCATTTCCAAGTGAACTACAACATCAGTCACAAATAAAGTAGTTATTTTAAGAACATGCAGACTAAAATAATGACATCCTTCTCAAAACACTGTTCACTCCTTTTTTAGTTTCTTTGTCTTGCTTTTGTCTTTTGGTTAGTATAATAAAGCAACTGATTAAATCACAACTGGTTAAAATCTTCTTTGGATCGAATAAATTGAAGTTTGAAGCTTGACAATCAGCCAAAGCTTTAAAGACAGTTAGTTCCCATAAACTATATCTTTGTTCAGATAAGAAATATACCCACTTTATCTTAATTAGACGCTCTATTACATGCCAAAGAACATAATTATAGTCTCCAACGTACAAGGAAAACAATGAGTATAATCTTTGAAAAGCAAACACAGAGCATCTAATATTAGAGCAAACTTAAGGAGAATCATTTTTCCTTTCTAA